TGTTTGGACGCTCACCGGACGCTCACATCGATTTTGTTTTTCGTTCGGTGGGCTGATGCCTTCAGTGTAGCTTTTGCCTCTTCCGACATAGAAATCATCTGAATCTTCTTTCTACCCCTCTTTCTTTTCACACCACGCATAATGTATTGATAAAAATTAGGAAAAAACGCTGAGGAAATATAATGTTTGGTTTGCTAGCGAGCGAGAACTGATTTGAGAATAATTGCACATGCGCGTGATCTGAATGAACTATGACCCGTACAATTTCGATTTGCATATTGTCAATCAAAGGTCCTGTTATTTGGTTACTCATGCAAATTAGGCAATTGGACATAAACATTGCCACGTGTGAGTGTTTTTTTATTTTTGACCAGAAAATAAACAGCAATTTTAACGGTGTTCCAATAAGAATTCATTGGTCAAATTTTCACAGAATGTTCTTTAGATAAAAATCTATATAAAAAACGAAAAAAACTATTTTTGATTGAAATTCACAAATAAACTGCATCCCTACCTTAAACCATTGTATGAAAAAGTATTAATGCTATAGAGTAGAAATGGTTTGCATAAATTCCGTATAACAATTTTACTTAGAGAATATCATGGTGTTAGAGATTGCTATTTGAGCAGAGTGATTGTAATAGCATAGCTCGTTGATTGACTCTCTTTACTGTGTTCAGGAAAGTCAGCCATGGACTGATGTCTATGAAAGTTTTTTTTATCCTTTCTGTGTTTGTGTGTTAATTGTTACTTGAAAAATCTGTGAGCTGATTCTCACTTGCACAAAGGAAGACGCAGATTTAAATATTGCAATATGCTGTGAGCTGATACAGGTGATCCCATGTGAACTGAACTATGTGTGAACATTAAATACATTAATATCATCAAAATCATGCAGTATCTTGTTTTACACTCACAACTCTCTCAAGTTACCCATATTGAATTGTGTTCAACCCTTTGCTGTGTCATTGTTCAGTAATTATCTCATAATTTTTGAAATCTAAACAGCTAAATGGCTCAGACTCCATATCCCAGAATGGACCAGTTGAAGATGGTGTTGCCATGGCAACCCAGGCTATGGGGGAGTTGAATTTTGAAGAAGATGAGGAAGAGGCCTTTTACATGAAAGATCTGCCAACATATGCGTGCAGGTGAGAGTAGTTTCATATAGAGTCCTATGTATAGTTTATTTATTAACGCAATGCAGGATAATATGTGCATAGATTCATCATGTTGACCCAAATTATTGGCTCATAGAATATTATTTGCATGTGCCAGTCATCTAAGCTGAGTGTTAAGTAAAACAATGCCTAAAAGATATCTAGTGATATGAATAATTACAAAATGTTAACCTCAATTTGATAGAGAAAACAACGAAGACACATATAATAAAAGTATTAGTTTCTCACATTTTCTGTTTTTTCTATAAAATTTATTGCATTTCTAGAGTGTTAGTTCTGTCATAACATATACACTGTCTCAGATTATGAAGACTTCAGGTATTATGATTTTGAACAAAAAACCTGAAAAACATCACTACTGCATACTCAATTAATTTGTTATTCATCAATAATTCTTATATACTTTTTATTTATTAATTTCTAGCATAACTAACATGCCAAAGGGGCATTTACCAATCAAAAAAATAAATTTAAATGTATTTTTTGCAGATACTCACTGTTTTTTTGTTTTTTTTTGCTGGTGGGGATTGTTTGACTAAATTATTTTCATTTTTATATGGCCTTGGGAAATCAGCGAATTTGAATGGATCACGATATTTGAGTTTTTTGTCTAAAATATATGTACAAATTGAAAGATGTGTAGATAAGAAATTTGTTATTCAGCAAGGGAAAATGGGAAAATGTAATTTCGTTGTTGTCATCATCAGTCAAGTTGACATCAGGTTGGGGTTGAGGGTCTACTCGAATTTAATAAAACTGAACTTATAGGGTCACAATTTTGAATCACTTACTATAATTTTTGCTTTTTTAGTAGCACATTTATTTACATAAATTATAGAGATTTTTCTATGCTGAAAATAAATAGTATATTTAAATGATTTACCGTTAGTATGCAGCCAATGCAATTTTTGGTTTATATGCGCGTACTTTATTACAGTACTATATTTGAAAGGTGCTATTTGAAAGAAAGTATTATGCACTATAGCAATGTGTAATACATGGAATCACGGTTACTAAAAAAGTCGGTTAGGAAACGCTATTGTTAAAAGGTGTGAATCTGCCTAATCCATCAAGGATGCGTGTCGCGCTGTGTACGCCCTGCCCTCTATTGCTTGAGATTTCAAGGCTCACCATTTTGTTTCATTTTTGTGTCGATCACTTGATGTTCCGCGAATTTGAAATTTTAAGCTCGTTTTCGATAGAATATCCATGTTTAGTGCACAAGCGCTACGAAGAACTACACGTACGTCTCGGATGAGTACTCTTTGTGACTGTGATAACATTCAGAATCGAGAGTCGTCATTTATCGTTTTCACTGTTGTCATGAAAATAAGCTTGGGTCCCGGAAGAAAAAGTGACGAAGTCACTATTTTAAAATACATTATATTATAAAAAATACTACCAAATGAATTTTTAGTATACTACTGTGCATACTTATGACGGCTGTGTGCCATTTGGGGGCTTATTAAAGTAAATTTTATCGTTTTGCTTTCGCATCACTGTATCAGCCATTTTGTTTAAAGTCGTAACACTTTTTTTTGTAGACGCCGTAGAAATCGTTAAAAATGTATTCAACATTATCCGCCAGTTTTATATAATGCCTGTTTAATTGTTCTTGTCTGTCCTTGTTTCAGTTTTTTGTCAAATTTTTCATGTGGCAATATTCAGCGTGCCGTTAAATGCGGTTTTAGTCAACGCTACAATTTTTGAACACATTGGACTGTCGATACAACTTTCTAGCAGTCTCTTCGCCAAATCAATTTTTCGAATCCTTTTTAACCGTTTTTAATTTCATTGGAACTGCCTGTTGTTGCATATTTCGTCTGCTTACATGCATTTTGTAGAGCATGGGCGGGTCATTTCAGTTATCTTATCGCATATTTTGTTTATTTCCAACAAAATGTATGTGGTATCATGGTTCCTCATTAAAACTCTCGCATGGCTGAAATATAAACACTTGTATGGTTTCTTTGACGTTATTTTTTCTGATCATGTTTTGTTAGCTTTTTTATTTCAGTTTTCTGCCAATCTTGTTCTTTAGAAACGAAAATGCCATACAAGACAGGCAAATTTGTATTGAGTTTAAACTGGGCGACCGGTTTTGTCAGGATTCACTGTAACAACTTACACTTTAGTATTACTGAAAGTATCGACAGAGACACAATAAAATGGTGTGCAGTTGTTGATTGTAATGAACTCTGGGAAAAATGATGTTTTATTTGCGTGATTTCCTGTCTACAATTTATGTTAATGATTTATGTCTTTTGTTTCAAATGTTTACCCGCGACACGCATCCAATGAAAAGAACATGGTTTGTTTCCTCACTGTTTTTAGCTCCGCTGTTGACTTTGTCGAGCGGAGCTTATCATATGAGTGATTGTCCGTCGTCGTCCGTGTCAATGTTTTACTTTTTCGACTTCTTCTTGAAAACTACAAGCCTGAATGCTTTGATACTTGGTGTATATGTACCTTGGGTAGACCTCTCTTAGGTTTGTTCATTTCATGTTGATATCTTCAATTCTCTAATTTTGGTGAATATTTTTGTCATTTTTGGTAAAAAGTGATATTTTCGACTTCTTGTTGAAAACCGCAAGTGCAATTGCTTTGATATTACATATATAGGTACTACATGTGGACCTCTCTCAGATTTATTCATTTTGTAATGAAATCTTTAATTCTCTAATTTTGGTGAATATTTTTGTCATTTTTGGTAAAAAGTGATATTTTCGACTTCTTGTTTAAAACCACAAGTCTGATTGCTTTAATACTATACATATTGTTCATTTTCTAATGTGCATTGCAAACAGCGGAGCTATCTCACCTGACAGACTGCTTGTTTGATTTCAAAGCAAAATTTTTATATTATAATAAATCATATTTTATTTTTATAATCAGGAAACAATATCAAACCAAATTATTTTAAAATATATATGTTCTCCAAGTTTTAATTTTATATTCTCGGGAAAATATGAAATTACGGCTCACAAAAAATAAGATTTATTAGAATGACTGGTAAAAATTTATTAATTATTAATTTTTCAGATACTGTGGAATCCATGACCCTGCTTCTGTTGTTATGTGCAATAGTACCAAGAAATGGTTCTGCAATGGACGAGGCAATACATCAGGAAGGTATGAACTCTTGTTGAACCTTAATATTATACTATGCATGCATTATTGATGGCTGCTAGTATTACGTCTCTATTTGCATTAATCACTGTTCGCAAATATTAAACATCTCCGTTTTTTCAGAAGCTCCAGAAATTAGCTATCTATACGCTCAATAAGGCCCTTTGTGAGCATTCAACCTATTAAAATAAGAATGAAAAAATATATTTTAAAACAGAACTATAATTGCTTATTTACGGACAAGTCGTCCACTTTTTTGTAAGAAATATTTTTTTTGAGAGGAAAACTGTCTGAAAAAATACAAAAAGGGGTATTTTGGATCTATGGTATTACTATATGAATTGCTTAGTTTTTGCTGCTAGGAATTTTTGCGATTTAATGGTATTTGTGTATTTGAAAGTTGCTGACATTTGGTTTTTGGCTCGAGAAAAATTTTCACTGAATCGCGAAATTCATAAAAACTTGTCAGCATCAAAATTTTTGAATTATTCAGAACAACCTAAAGTAACCATCTTAGACACATGATTTTTTCATCCTGTGTACCTGAACAAAATTTCGAGTTATGACACACTAAAGGTAAATGCCATTATCATTTTTTTGTGTGTTTGAAATTGCTGCCCACCCGTACGCCCGCTGCGAATAACTATTCAGTCGAGCTGGTGAAAATCTTGAGTTACTAGCCCTGTGGTCGTTAGATTTTTGGGGAAAATAAAAAAAAAATATTAATTTTAACAAAATGTCTATGGATGTATGATTGTTGTCAAAATTATGTACCTAGAGGTCTGATGCGGCCGTTTTGACAGATATAAACGACAACAATCAATGGAAGATGCGTGATTTAGCAAACGCTCACACTATGCATGATTTAAACGCTATGCGAGAGTTCTGGTTGAACCTACCCTTTTCAGAGCTGGAGTTGACATGCATTTCATCAGTAGAATAAACACCATCATAGAAAGCTTCAATTTATGTAAGGCAAGAAGGCAAAAACTTTTGAACATTATGCAACAGCTAGATGAGGCAGTAGAGAAGGGACACATAATCTTGTATTGACATGTTTTTTTTTTGGTCAAAAACGACGTTGCCTTTCAGTTGACTCGCGAGAGTTTACCGATTTTTTGAACAAATGTTAAGTACGGTAACTATATCGTTTTGCGTCAAACTGGGTGGCCCGAATTTAAATGTCAGTGCGTGACCACTCATTGAGGTCATTGCCCATTGCCACACATAATTCAAACACGTGGTTATTAGAGTTCAGTCGAAGTGTAAGCGAATAATGCGATCGAAGTGTGCTGCAAGTTTATTATAGAAAAATTTAACATTACGCATGATATTGTATATTATTGTATAGTTAATATTACATATTCACTTTATTTCGAATAAAATAATTTACAGATGAGTCACAAGTATTTAAAATATTTTCTCCACTTTCGTTAGACACCTGACTCCGGGACCTGACTATCTTTTTCAATGATTTATTTGCCTAATAATTACGAATACAATGCATTATCAAGTCGGTAATATTGAAATATTCACAGACCCAATAGCCCGGGTTAGTGTCCCAACAATAATAAAAATAACTTAGTTTGCGTAATTATTATAAAAGCAATACATTGCAAAGTTGAAATACTTAGAGCCCGTGCAATACTGTAAACATATTTGCGTTATTAGAAAAGCAGCACACTAAGTAAACGATGTTGAAATATTCAAAGCCAATACAGAGTTGGATACAAGTTGTGTTATTACAGTACCGCCGGATATAATAACAAATTTACGAGATCGAAGCGCAGACCAAGAAAGAAAAGGGTTGCTAAGGTATCGCACCAGTTCAGTGCGTGACTTGGGGTCAAACTTCGGTCAACACACACTTGATGTCAGCATCGCTGCGTAGCAAGTTTCGCAACGTACTTGAAGTTCAATTGTGCCCCAAAATGATGTCGACGATCACTCAATTGTCTCAGCGCATGTTGTACCAAGTCCATCATACACCCCATTTCGACTTTGGCTTGCTTTTCCTTCTTAGTGCATGTTCTTGTTCACGTAAATGCGACCTCTCACCAATATATTAAAACACTTTGAATTTAGACTTATGCGTGATTATATTTGGTTTACGCGAAACAATAATCTTTCTAAACATTTTCTTAGACCATGCATGATATGCATGCATGCATGTATATTCACAAAATAATGCGATCATATTTTATATTATGTTGATCTCTACGTCTTTCTGGATCGTTTTGTGATTTTATTCCAAGGCTCAGGCAAATAAAATAATGTCAACTATTATAGACTAGTTTCCTAGCTTTTGGCTCAGCCAAATTGGTTTAATTTTTCATTAGAACTTTGTGATCCTTTTAATTTCCCAGTTCTTTGTGTTCATTAATGGTCTTGACAATAAGTGTGAATTGCTGTGTGAGCCCACCGCGGAAGACCACGGTCAGCCGGCGTCATGGAATCTATGCTAAAATTTGCATAAAATGCTGTCGACCGGCGAGCACCCACCACCTCCGCAGTAATTACCGCGGTGCACCGCCCGTTTGATTTCCTACTCTCCCCTAAAAAATGTGTTTTTAAAATAGATTCAATGCAATGTTTTACTTTATTCTGTAGTAGAAAATAAATGTCATATGAAAGCATGTTAGTAATCATTATAATAATATCGTCCCATGTATCTGGCTTAAAACTTGAACATTGATACCTGTCACTGCTGTGTGGCTTGTTAGGTTGGTATTAATCACACAACATTGTTCCTTACAAAACTAATTATAAATGAGATTTCTTGTTACCAAATGAGGTTTCCTCTCTAGTGATAATCTCGTCAATATAAGCAAGTCAGGATCAAAAGTTTTGAAAAAATATGGGGGAAAAAAGGTTCATTTTGTTAAATGTTACACAAGTTGCTCAAAAGGTTAAAGGTCAACCAGACTTGGATTGATATAGTGATTCCTGAGGCAATCCAAAATGTCTTCACACATTTTCAAGATTAATATACAGCCAAAATATTAGGGTTATACAAATGTAGAAAATGAAAAAAACCCTTACTCAAAATTGCTGGCTTAGTTGCACCTCCATCTGTTGTCGTCACATATCAACACGAGTACTATTATTACTTATTTTTTTGTTTACATTACTAGGTGCAGTACCTAGAAAAACTGGGCTGTGATTGTATTGTTGCGTCTCACTACGATGGTAAAACATTCGTCTCTGGCACTGAAAAAGGTGTCAACTACTTCGCTGAAATGCAGGAAGTGAAACCAATGTCAGAACACATGAGACGAGGTGGGGGATTCAACATGAATGCTTCGCCGAGTGGCACGAATAATTCCACCATGCAGGAAGACGCTGCAGAACATGAACACAGTAATTTAGGGAAGAGGAGTGGAGAAAGGAACTCTGATAGAGGAATAGAAAATGGTGATGGTAGTCATAGCAACAAAAAAAGGAAAAGCAATCTTGAAGACGAAGAAGATGATGACATTGAAGAACAGGATAACTCTTTAATTAACAAAAAAGATGAGAATCCTCTATTTTCAGGTAACTATAATAATAATATTTATGTAAATGCAGTAAATAAAGTCACTAAAACTACAAAAGAACTAAAACTAGAACCCAAACAATAAAAAAAACTAATTACAATCCACAGTCATAGGTATAAAATTTCAGACAAAATCACTAAAACACATGAAAACTGTGGCAATGAAATAGAAAGTATATACATTATACTCCAGGGGTTTTTCTAGCAAAAAACTGCAAGAGGGGGCACTGCAATTCCAGCGGCACCACCAAGTGGGGGAGATAGGCCAGGGTGTGGAGTTTTTGGTGATTTTAAGTTAAAATAGAGCATTCTATGGCTTCCTTGGGGCCAAAATTACTATTAGACAGGTCACAGTTGAAGATTGTGGCCACATGTGATTCCTGAGTCAATCAGAATTTTATGGTTGCCAGACGATCTGCTCCCCAGGGTAAGGGAGCGCATGGCCATGGTATGAGGACACTGCGCCCCTGTTCCCTTGTTTAAAAAAATTCCTGTATCAAATTGGTTCTGCTCATTCTCTGACCATTCTTACTATGACTTCAATACTCACATTTTGTCTTGCCACATGCCACTCACTAAATGCAGTGATGTGATAGATATAAGAGAAAATTAAAAATGTGTAGTTTTCAAAATTCAACAATTCAAAAGATGTCCATGATTCTTCATACCTTATAGGAACACTATTACTCATGTTGCCATGGCATTCAATTTAACTACTGTACACCATTGAAAGTTACATCCTTTAATACTGTAGATCTGCCTTGACCAATAGTGATTCAAATCAAGATGAGCCAAATGACAACCATTTGACTGATAACAATTCATCAAAATCAGGCATTTCTGCCATTCAAGAACCAGATTTTAGTTGTGTTTGAACAAAGTTTATTCACTCTTGGTACATACATTGTACATCATGGGATCATGATGCCCATCATTTTGTTCACAGATAAAATTGAAAATGGCCAACTGGCAGCCATTTTGTTTCAAAGATTGGCCTACTGATGACTATTTTCATGCTTAATAATTCAACAAAATCAATTGTATCTGTCATTATGTAACCGGATCGTGGGTGTGCATAGATGGATATCGATTTAACTTTGTACATATCTACTTCATCAGGGATTTTTTCAAGATAGTTTGTCATTGTCATCCTACAAATAAATGATAGTAAGGTTGTTGATTCACAGAAGCCCTTCTTATATTGCTAGATAATAGTGACCCAATTCTTCTATTCTATCCTTTTCACCACCAGTTCCCTTTTTCATCACATTCATGTATTCACAAAATAGTCCGTTTTATAGTCTGCACTTTTCTTCAGAAGATTGGGACGAAAATAGCCAAATTTTTGAGTAAAAACTGAAAACTGACAAAAATTTTGTCTGTTGGCTCCAAAATTGGGGTTGAATTTCCAGAACTATTGAAGAATATAAGAAAAAAGAGCAGAAAAATTTGGGCAAGAAAGTCTGGTGTTGAAAAGGTTAAGCCTGTGTTTTATATTTGTGTTTTGACCTGTCCAGGGATGGTGTAGTATAATTCCACTAACACAACCGGATCTAATATGTAGCTTCTGTTTCATTTCAGTCTTGTTTACTATATCGTGTCAGGGACTGTGTCATGTCAATCAATTGTTTTGATTCTCACAAGTCTATTCTCAATACTTACTTTATAGGGCAAGAAGTATACATTGTTGATAAGAACCACTTTGTAGTCGGCATTGGATCTATCCTACCTACGCCACACCACAGAATATCGCTCAAAAATGCAATAGCGCCAGAAGACTTCTTTGACTGAAAATTATTCAAAGAAAAAAAACAACGAAATACTACACAACTGCTCGTGCACACCAAGTGCAAGGAAAACAGAACTGTGAAGGTGGCGTTACTCGCTGACCATGGAAACATTTTCTTCTATTGAAGAAAAAAAGAAACAACTTGTAATTTTTATTTAAGAAGAATTTTACCTGCCATTATTTTTTAATGATGGACATTGTTTTGTGTCAGATTCTAACACACTGTCGCAGATAATTACTTAATTTTTAAAAAATTCAATTTTAATTCAATATCTCCTTATTTTATCATGTCTATAACTATATTTATCATCTCATATCAAAATCTAGCAGGATTGGACTCGCTGCTATATCCTTATTGCTGCTGATGGACATGTGCAAAAACAGACAGACAGTGCAAAAACTATTCAAAAGTAAATTTTAGCGTGTACATATTTACATTTTTTTAAATAATTATTTCAGAGATTTATATTTGACATTATTTAACTTCCATGCAAAACATATCTATTTGTGTTCTTATGTGTGGTTTTAGCATTTCTCTTTACCTCCCCATTGTGTAACCAATCTTGTCTTGTTGTTATGGCAACAGCTGATCTCATGTTTTGGGAGTAAGGCTCGATTATATTTTCTTACAGCTATTCATATAGCTCTCGTACATGACCCTTCAAATCACATACCCTGGCTCTTTCTGGGGAAATTGTTGCCCTATGAAATGCGTAATTGTAATTAGTAATTTCTAACACTGTCAAGAACTTTATTTCACTATTTATTAGTCCTTGTTCGAACCGAAAATGAGGATTTATGAATTGGCCTCTGTGCATACATTATCAAAATCAAGCATATCTGGATCTCAGCTGTTTACAGATGGATTTTGTTCAAACTTGGTACACGCATTGGACATTATGGGACCTTAATGCATGTCATTTTGTTCGGATCTGATTAATAAATGCTCAATGGTGGCCATTTTGTTTTAATTAATGCAAGATACAAGATGACAGAATGTTGATCTTTTTTATGTTAAAAAATCATCATAATCAAGCATCAGCTTCTGGATCCATATCTGACATGTTTATGTTCAAAATATATTTCTTTAAACAAAACTATATATCTTAAATTTTATAACTAACGGGGACTGTGCCATGGATTGCATTGCCTGTTTTACTCTATTTTTTCTGAAAGGATTAATTAAAATAAATCAAGTGAAATTAAACTCCACACAAAATGACCAAAATCTTTTCAGCAAAAATTAATTCCAGCTAAAATATTTTACAATATTATACATCTGTTTATCCATGCCTAACTGTTTTTTCATAGCATTGACAACTGCTTTACATTTTCAGGGTTACAAATTTAAGGTATTATCTTCGATAATGAAATTGTTCCCCAGAAAGTACCAGGATGTGTGACCTTTCCTATCTTTGTGCAACATGTTTTGTCCATTGTATTGAAATTAATTTCATGTTTATTAAGTCCATAAATTGATAAATGTTTGTCAACTTTTATAAAATAAACATTGCAAATCTATTACCTTGATCAGAAATGTACGCCATACTGCAACTTTCAGGATTAGTGGTAGAAAATAGCCACCAAAGTTGGACTTGAACACAACGATTATATAACATCGATTTTCGTGGAAACAAATATTTTCAATTCATTTGATGGGCTTGTTCACTCAGCCTATTATCAAGTGTTTTTTTTTTTTACATTTTCAGCATTTTTACTAGTACCTTAACCGTTTGAGCGTCATTGTCAAGTTTTGGTACCATGCTACAAAATGATTTTGTACTGTGTGCTCTTCCCCACTTGAAATGTTGATAAAAATTGACAAACCTTTTGATCAAAAATAAAAAAAAAAACTGCCTATAGGGTCCAAATATATGTTGAAATTGAGTGACAATTTTACAAAATGTGATAAAAATATTTGCACTGAATATTTATTGGAATATATCTGGCGCTCAAAAGGTTACGACTTTTGCATAACAACTAACAATTTGTTTGATATTTCACTGCCATAGCATATTTTAGCACTCAACCAACAAACATTTTATTTTCTTAATTGATTTTTAATTTATACTAAAATAAACATGTATTGTGATTTTTTTAAATAATCGTGAATATGAATTCTGTTGAAGTACCATAAAACTAATTGTTACTATTGTTTATTGGAGTGGTTGAGAGGAGTATATGGGTCTCAAAAAAAAAAAAAACATCAACATGGTTAACCGACAACTATTCTGCTAATTACATCGTTCTACTAGCATCTGGACTTCATGCTAGAATTTACGGTACCATTTACCAGGTATATTTGTTGCAATTTCATGAAGAATGGTCATGCATTTGATGCTATGGAAACTATCAGTGCATTAAGGTGTAAGTGATGTAAATAAATTATGGAAGTCCAAGTTTTCAGATCACTAGATTTTGTTACAAGACTACTGATTTCAAGGCAATGCTATTCTCTTTGACTCATAAATTGTCGTCAAGATGATTGGACTTTTACTGGTATTAGCTATGAATGTTATTTCTTCTGCATTGTCCAAAACGGCCTCCAAAAAATATCAGTATCATCTATTTTATGCATTTGCATTGATCATATTAAATGACACTGGTATTTCTAGTATAGATTGAGAAGCTTCCAGAAATGTGAAAAAACATGGTTTTCGAACCTTGTGGCAGGAATTTTTTAAGTTGTTTGGTACAGCAAGATTTGTCCCTTTGCATTCTGCAAACGTACGTCATAAAACATTTGAGATAGGCAAAGAAGAGTTGGGCTCAGCAATGAGTCGTATGATCATAGAATTGATTGAGGCTTTCAAAACAGTGCAAGTCGTTAACACCTGCCGTTCCAATAGATTTCTAAATGAATAATAGCAGCAGCGCCAATGATGTACAAATATGCCGATTCCCGATCATTCTGTTGAGTCTGAGGTTCTGTTGGAGGATAAAAAATAAGTCAGGTACCCAAAATAAATGAATAAAGCTAACTTTTAGTGAACTTCATAAATACTGAGGCTAAAAACAAATAAAACTAATTGATCAAAATTCTAGTTTAATTTAATTTACAGAGTTTTTTTAGGGGCTACTGAATTCTATTTCAAGACGAGTGAAATTTATATTCCCCTTGTCTTGAACTGATGTGTTCTGGACTGAAGCTTCAACTCCTGGAGAAGAAAATTTACAACTAACATAGTGTTTGAAGAATTAGCATATTTAGATTAGTAGCATGCTATATTTATCAGCCAATCAACACTGTGGTTACTCATTGACCATGAAGGTGAAATTATTGCATCATAACTCGTTTCAGCAAGATGAATCAAAATCAGTACTCTATATTGGAGACTTTTTTATGACACCATAGCTTTACATTATCATATTATTACATGATAATGTAAACCTATATTTGCAAGTAAATTCATTTCAAGAAAAATGTAAGTTAAACTCGTGTGAATACAGAATATATGCAATCATTGTTTTATAAAAAACAAAACAATCTAGGAACTGAAAATTCTGAAAAGTCAGTTGAAAAATCAATCGTATTAGAAGTCAAGATCATCAGCTACCATATAAATCTGTTTTGAGATTTTTTTATGGCCAAGATGACACAATATGCAAATTAGCCACTTAATATACATAAACATGGCCCAAAAATTGATCTTGAAAACTGTAAATACTTATAAATGTAGATTCACATTTAAACAAGAGGATGTGATTCAATATAGTACATTATATTTTACCACCCTTTACACATAAGGTTAATACTAACTGGATGGATAACTGTAAAATTCTATTCGTCTGTGCCAGTGATGTCAATATCACAGTTGCTGTATTTGGCTGTACTGGTTTCAACTGTCATTTTGAGAATATTTCCAGATACATGAAATGAGGTCATAAGAATACTCCTCATAAACCACTAGGTTTGAAATTATTAAAAACAAACACATGTGCCATGGTCTTAGTTTAACTGTTTAATTTTCATAAATCTTGTTTAATTAACTTTTGTTCTAAATCCTAGTGAACATATATTTTAAACAAGTCAAACTGCCATTCGATAAACCTATGCGTTAAAGTTAAATGGTTTTAAACACAATTAAACCAAAAACGAACATTTTCGATAGCATTAACAACCCCAAAAATGCATCATACTGTTAAATAAGCTTTCATGTGGTATATAACATGACAAAATTGACGTATTTGTTAGTAGTGTAATTTATTGTTTTAAAATTCCTATATAAATCATGGTGCAGCACCACCTGAAGTCAAGTTTACTATTTTCTTTAAAAGTCAGTAAAATTGATAAAGCCTTTGAATACCTACTGACTTTCAAGGGGAAATAGTAAACTTGGATGGAACGTCTGAAAGAAAAGTTTGTTTCCATGACTCGCACATCAAATGTCAACAGAAAAAAAATGCTAGTTTGCGGCTGTATGAAAACAAAAATAATTTTTCAGCTAGATTGTGAAAAATGATGAGGTTCGACTCGGCGTTCAGCGAACCGTTTGCGACGAGCATGAACTTAAACAGATACCGTTAAGAGCAGTATAACAAACAGGAACGGAAACTATATAGCGAGGGACAAAGGCTGAAAATCTAGTGTATGATGAGGTAAACAAATATTTTGCATAGCTTGATGTCCTCGGGATTTCAAACGATCCACCCTAGGAGTATTGTGTGGACCACAGTCCCTCTGTGTGGACATACCATGTTGCGTAGTGCCCTCAACGATGAACGTTGTCCTATGATTGAAAAAACACTGCGTTAGAGAGGCTTTACGAAGATGGCGACGTCGTCGGTGGAGAAGAAGACGTCGAAGAAATCGTCGTTTTGCGATTATTAGTAAATGTCGTCTCAGTTTCGATGCCTGCATCTTGGATTTGTGCATGACGGATTTTTTGCATCGTAGTATTGAAACTGAACCCTCGTGTGGTGTGTGCTTACTAATAGACACCTCTCAGTTGACAGACGACATGATATGGTTAAACGTTATATCGTAACTAGCAGTACAGGTACTGGCCGGTTGAACAAGACGAGCCGAGAGACGTCGTTTATTGTGACATGTTGCTGCATTGACGCACTTTTGTAAATTATTGCTTTCTTTTGAACAACCGAGACGTGTCCTTGTTAACGAGTCAAATTTTGTCCCCGCCCCCTCCCATCCCCAACACGAGCCACTCCGCCCCGTTCCCAGACCCCTCTTTCAAACACAAGCAGGGAGTAGATCTCTTGCTAGGAGCTAGCATTGTGTGTCGTCCGAATTACGACCACTTTTATCAAAATTCGGTAATTACGTGAAGCATTTTTCCGACTAGGCTGATTCCGACCGCTGTCATGCCAGTTTCGTGCGTAAATGTAAACGCAGGCCCATGGTTGTACCAAGCAAATACTACTTATACTCCCCCCCCCCCCCGTTAACAGCATGGTGCATGGTTGCTAGGAAACTAACCATCCAAACAACAAATAGTCATTATTTGGAATAATCAGCATGATACAATGACGATCATATATAACAGAAATTGACATCATGTTTTTTACAATTTGTTATATATACCTCACTTTGATCAATCATCGTCGCACGTGCAGCCAGAAAATGCATATCGTCAACTTGGTACGCACACAAGCATCACAATGCAGTGTCGTGTTCAGGAGAACTTTACCCAAATCTGCGATGGCGAGGAGACAGTCTTTCACAAGCGATAAGCGTTGCTCCGTACTATGTGAGGTGGGCGATACGAACATCAAGGAGGAAATGGTGTACACTTTCCCAGGAAAACAGCTTCTAACGGTTACACCACGGGTAAGTTTATTAGAATATTTTTTTAGATTGGTGCAATGCAGTGATGTAGAGAACAGCAAGTACTGGAACCTAGTAAAAACAAACACCTATTTTGATTAAAATACAGTCTAGTTTGTTGCATTTAAAAAAAAATCAAAAAATTTATGGAAAGACAGCCGCTTTCCTGTTTTCTTGGGTCGACCTGCATTTCTGTTTTGTCCTCTTATTTAAAAACAAAACTACATCACTAGCAGTAGATTGAATTTCTTGCACACTGGTGTATATTAAATGCACACAATAACAGTGTATATCATCATCAATCAAGCTTAAATTTTATCAGAGTGATATATTAACTTTTATCATCTTTTTAGGGACGACGTTCAAAGATCGATGTCGGATAAAAAACTTAATTCCTTTAGTTTTTTTCCAAACCCCCCTACCCCCCACTG